TTAAAGGTACTTAGTTACCGCATTGACGGAGATAAAGAGAGTTCATAGAGAAAAAGTGTAAATGCTGAAATCTCCTAGTTCACAAAATGACAAGCTGAGCTTGCGGCTTCTCCATTGAAAAGATGGTAAATTGGTGGAATTTGAATAATTTTTTAAAATGCAGAATATCCAATGTGTTAAATTTATGTTTTTAATCGCTCCCTTATAGGGTACTGTGAAGGTGCGTAGTGTACCTTCACGACAAAACGTCTAGCAAATGCTACTACTTATCTACATATTCATATGGTAACCAAAAACTGTTTACACAAGACAGAATAATTTCAATATTTTAAACGTTGAAGTCTCTTAGTGACATTACCACTTAGAGGCAGTCGGCCATCGGGCAACTAGAAGATATCTCCATACATTTAATACAATATCGATTGGTTCTCTTTCAGATATTATGAGATCTTACTGACACACTCGGAAAGCTTAACGGCGACATCGCAAAATAACCTATCTTTCTATATACTCTTAAAATCTCAAAGGTAGCGACTCTATCATGTTGCCCTTTATAAGTATTTCTTGTTCGCTTTACAGCACGCTATCTCTAGTAGCTTTACGCCTTCATCGTTTTCCATGCTCTCCCCCACACAGATATCGATACACTCCGATATGTTTACTCGTATATATTTACTCTTATTTTCTCAACCATCAAATGTGTTCTCTGTTTACTTAGCTCCTTCGATTACTGGCGCTTTTGACTTCTGATTTGGTCACCGGCACCAGGCTAGTTGCTAGCTTCTTTGGCTTTCAGTGTATTTGTTAATTGAAAGCGTACACTTGTTGGTTTCGCTATACGCTATAAGCACAATGTACAATCATATAAATACAAGTTTGGGCGATTTCTATACTCTAGTTGTGTCGTTTATCAGTTAATCGCTGGATTCCAAGCGAGAACGAAATTGTTTTGTGTTGCACAGCAAACAAACAGTTATCAATCAGTTGGGTTTGTGGTTATCACGCGTTGCTCAAGTTTTCCTCGTGTATTGCGTCGCTCAAGTGCTCTGGTGTTTTAATGGTGCCTCTGTGCAATATATAATACTATATACCGAAAATAGTATAAGCAGAATATTAACAAACGCCTAAAAAAATCGCTCAATTGTGATAGTGCCAAATTTTAAACTCGATATCATACAAATTGTTTGTAAATTCATTCGGAAAAATTGGATTCCGCCGTCACAGTCCCCGTTTAGAGGTGATTAACAGCTTTCATGCATAGTGTAATTGCTTATGTCATGTGATGTGAAGAAGTCTTATTACAAAAGCATATAAATGCTTTTAGCTTGTTGCGCGCAAATAAAACAGTGTTTTATACTGCTTATATAGTTAAATAAGACAAATGTTTTATTTACCCAGTATATATCTTCCGTGCCGAGACGCGCTAATTTCTCTGCCTAAACATTAACACTTGGAATATTAATACATAGAAACAAGATAAGCAAATCAGCGATTCCGAATCTGAGTTCATTTCTACATTAACTCAATAAAGTCCTAAGTCAATATTATTGGTTATTCCGCGTGTGTACAAATATGAATAGGTATATACTCGTAAAATCCAGCATGCATATAAGCATCCATAACTATGTGCTATATTTAAATCTATGTCAATAATATATCAATTTTACGGCTCATTGCATTTCAATTGTGCATTACATACACACATGTTAATATAGCTTATCAGTTAAATAGTTATGTACGAGTGTGTATTTATTGTAATACGGTAATAACGCTTTTAATCTCGTCGAATGGTGGGTGTTTATACATATAATCTTATAAATATATATTGACTCAATAACTAAATGAATTATTAATTTTCTCAGGCTTAGCATCTATTTCGTGCAAGATTTAAGTGTATGCATGGCATCGCATTGTGTAATAATTATCGCTAACTAGACTTGAAAGTCAATTGTCAGTGAACTTTTGTCAACCTTAGCTTCACATTGTTATAAAATAATAAAAAAATATATGTAAAATACCAAATTAAATATAAAATTATACGCATCATTCTAATCTAAAAACAAGAAAAAACTTACTCGGTTGCACCGAAGATAGAATACCATTCACAATGAAAAAAGTTTTCCCATACAGGGACTGGATTTTGATCCTTCAGTTTGTATGGCAGCTATAGTGTTTCGATATCGACTAGTTCGCGTATACAGACAGGCGGACAAGGCTGTATCGACTCAGTTCGTCATACTGATCATTTATTTGTATATTTTATAGGGGGCTGTTATTGTTGTGGTGGTAGCGACAGAAAACATTCCTTAAATAATTTGAAGGAATGCTGCCGAGTTAACAGTCTTTGGCCGGATTAAGAGCCGTGTCCGTTCCGCTTACATAGGCGCGACTGTCGTGGGAATGGATATTTTATAGGGTGTCGGACATTTTGTTTTGGGTATTACAAACTTCGTGGCAAACTTAACATACCTCGTTCAGGGTATAATTAATATTAAACCAAACAATCACACAGATATGATTTCCAAAATTAAGTAAGACAGACGTGTCTAAAATATTTAGCTGCGCACATTAGTTGTTTCATGTACGAGTATATACAAACAATTAACATTTGAATGCATACATACTATATCTGCGCATTCAAAAAATTGTACTCTAGTCTATATTGGGAAATTAAAAATTTTTGGTTTTCCAGAAAACGAGCTGTTCCGATAGGAATGGAGATAATAGAGAGATCAGTATTAGATGAGTTGGTTTGATGGGGCATGCAAAGGGGGGAGAGGGTAGTGCGGGGACTATTTGCATGTAGGTCGTAAGTGCGGTATGTCGCGGTCAATTTTCTATAAGTAAGAATTTAGCCTACTGCAGTATCCGGATCGAAGTTACACGAGTGTCATACTAGTTTCATAAGGCTTGTGGTTGGCATCAAACAGCTACGACGTTGATATCGAAAACATTTCTATCAACTCTTATTTACAATAAAATTATATATTCATAAAAAATTCAAATTCAGGAATTCCCAACATACGAGTACATCTAGTATTTCGTCTGCCAAAATATTCAGATGTACATATATATTTTTGTGAATAGTATATATACTTATCTTAGAAGAAAAAACGATATTACCTCGCTTTTACAATTTCTTTCACATTAATTACCACCAGTGCTATATTGGTGATTGGTTAAGTTCGAGAATTGATGATAACTTATCACCTAAGCATGTGGTAGAAATAGACAACGTAAGAGCCAAATTAAATTTTGTGACATATACGTACCGCTTATGTGTACATAACATACGTAAGTAAGTGTTGGCCCTCATTCAATTGTCGCATAGTGGCCATTGACTGTCGTAATTAGTGTTAGAATAGAGGAAAAAACGTGTTCGGCATTATGATAAAATATGATACAGATAGCAGAGCAGTGTAAAGAAGAGAAAAAGTGTTGGCGCACACGGCACAGCAGTGAAACAGACAAGTGAATAAGACCGAAAACCAACAGGGTAGCAGCACTAAGAGTAAACAATATATCGCTCAATCCAAACTGATATGGCTTCTGGCAGCCAGCCAAAAGTTGTTTCGCTCAAATGCAAATGTATTTCGTACATGGCTAACAAGCCGGCATGGATTTGTTATTGTTTCGTTTTTTTTTTAATCAATTTATTTTTGATGTCCCTTGTGTATAGAGACAGGAACTACGAGTAAGGCACATGGTGGTGAGATAATACCACTAAATGAGTGGCACAACTGTTTGGCGGTAATACGTCGACGTATGTACCAAGTATAGTCCATTAATCGCATTCTTTAGGTTGACATTTGTTAATGTGTTGTATAGCTAATCTCGGTCCCACCTGCCTTTTTTAGGCACCGCTATTAATTAATAGCTGCGTGTTTTGTTTGCCTGTCCATTTGTCTGCCCGATAATAATTATCTGACGAGATCTTGTTTTATACACTTGTTTTTATTGCTAATTGCATATATATGTATGCATGTGCATGTGTGCGAGATTTCAGCACGCAATATACATATGTACACACATTAGTGTCTAGAAAATTCAACGTGTTCTTTCAACAATTTTTGTGCACGCTGAAATATTTACGAAGGCGGAAGATTTATCTTGATTTCCTGCATACTAGCTGCTAATGCGAAACTGAAATAATTAAATTTTTTCGCACAATCAAGTATTTGTTATAAGGTAGATCTGAAGCAGTATGCGATCTAACGCCTTTTGACTGTTTTTTCTCGCAGTTCATTTATCTTATTGTTGTTGTAGTGGCAAAAAACATTCTCCAAATACTTTTGAGAAATGTTTTCGGGCGCTTTAAGGGCGCTTTATCCACTTGCAAGTGAAAAAACGCGTTTTTTTCTGTGAAAATTTTTGTAGATGCATTTTATTTAAGAAATAAATAAAAATAATGTACGTTTATAGAATTGAATATACTGTAATAATCGGCGATTCATTTTGTTAGTTTTTGTATTTTGTTGTAACCTTTAGCTGATCTCAAGTAGGACCTCCGAAAAAAGGTATCAGGCGGTGAGGAATATTTGTTTGCCTAAAATTATCTCACATCCAAAAACCGCAAAATTTATTATTACAATAGTAGAATAGGGGTAATGATTAAAGGACTAGTCAAAATTTTGATTTTTGACAAAATGACGGCTTCGCTGAAAAGAGTGTGTTTTGGGAAAAATTTTACACTACAGAGTGTCTTAAAAAATTATTTTAAAAAATCTTATTAGTTCAAATTCATCTAAGACAAGAAAAAACTTCGATTGCACCTATAATACCCTTCACAAATACAAAGGCTCATTACAAGAACTTGATTCCGATCGCTCAATTTGTATGGCAGCTATATGATATAGTGATCTGATCTGAACAATTTGTGAGAATACATTGTTGCCTTAAACAATAACTCGTGCCTAATTTCGTAAAGATACCTTGCCAAATGAAAGAGTTTCTCATACAAGCACTTGATTCCGATCGTTCAGTTTGTATGACAGCTATTATACTGGGGTTTGAACTAGAATAATTGAAAATACTTTTGGGATGACACAGCCGTTAGAAGCAAAATTTATAATTTTCGACTTGCATATGAATTTCTCTCAATTCACTCTGCTACGGTCACGTTGAGGTATAATTTACAGTTTCATATATATTTATTACGACCAGCTGCGGTTTTGTTGGCTGCGATTCACAGAAATTGTCAACGAAGGCAAAATAAACAAGTCAGCGTAAATTATAACTATTATTTTGCTTTTAGATCGATAAATTAATAGCGACGCCAAAGAGCTTACCATCTGAGTAAGCATAAGCTTCCTTAACACCAGATATGCAAAGAGAATTTATGCTATAGTCAAAATGCCAAAATGATTTGTATTATATGTATTATATTATATATGCATATACATACATACATGTAAATACACAAGAGGCAGCGACCCTGAGATGCATTCTAAATTTAATGTACACAAATCATTGGCATGCACACAAGCCCATCTGTACACACTTTTAAAGTAAACAAAATATTCGCAGCGTTTGTTTATTTATTTACTTAATGAGATTTTTGTTTTCATAGAGAAAATTTTTTTGCGCAAAAAGTGTATAATAATTATTAATAGCGTTCAAGTTTCTTGCATAGAAAAGGTAACGAAGCGTAATGGATTAATTAAAAAATCGTATATTGAAATTTAACTATAATTTTTCGAGAGAAAAATTTGTTATTCTATCTACTTGCACACCGTCCGTCTACCTGCGGTTTTCGTCAACGATGGTCGACATCAAAGCTGCCCGACTTGCGATCCAAACTACCGCGCGTCAGCTGATTGAGATCAATGATGGATAAATACGGCTTCGGCGGCACATTCAGCGGCTGCTCGAAGGTCACCGATTTGCCTGACTTTTCAGCCGTTGCCGCACGCGCTTGCTGATACGCATGCGCTCTGCCAGCACCGCCAAAGTCGCCCAAATGATCGTGTTTCGTTGACTTAAGCGCCAGCAGTGCGTACTGATCGTGCGTCACCGCCGAACTGCCGTGTATGCGTCGATAATTACGGTAGCCGCTGAAAAGACTGCTACCCGGCGCTATGGGACGTGTGGGGGAGAAGCCACCCTCATCGGACGATCCCCCACCAGAGTCATAATGAATTGAGAGGTTCGTGTACGCAATCGGTGCATAACAGCGTGTTGTCTTCGGCCGTGGCTTCACTTCGTATCGAGTGCGCGAGCGTGAACGTGAGTGATGCGTACGCGGGCGATTGCGTCGACGTAAACGCGCCTCGGATACCACGGGCGTGGGCAACACATTAATGAAACGGTAGTAGTGAAGGAAGGTGCGCGCCAAATTGCGACCACAACGGTAATCTGGGTAATGAATAATTAAACATTTAAGTGAGTGTATGATCGATTATTTATGCACTTGTTTCGCTTACAGCCATCTTCGTTGTAGAGCGCAACAGTTTTGCCATCCTTTAAGTAGTGGCCACTCATGGACACCTCGACGGTGTAGGCGTTCACCGTATCGCTAAGCCGCTCACAGAAATAACGGCGCGCAGAACCAACTTTCTTCTCGTCCGCATTGTACATTGTATTCTCGGCCACGTAGTCGGGCGCATTGGCGGCGAACAAACGCGGAAACACCAGATGGCGTTCATGTCGGTAGACATCGTCGTATGTGTTGCCGTAAATAAAGCAGCCATGCAGACTGGAATTCGCATGCAGGTCAATGACGAAGTCAATCTGATAAATCTGCAATAAAAACACACATCTGCTAAATGAATGTGAGCTTTATATTGAGAGAGTTTGCGAACGCACGTCAGAGTTGTCGAGTTCCTTAAGCATATTCCTTACGGCATATAGCGTGGGTTGAGAAAATTCAGTGGCCACATGCCATGTGCGATTTAAATCCTGTCCAATCAAATTGCAGCGGTTATTGCCCAAAAAGACACCGTCCGGATTTACCATCGGCACTATCTTGAAGACGAAATTATCGCGCAGCACAACGGCAATCGGGTGATTGCTTGTAATAAACTCAATAAATCCTTGGCACATAAAGGAGGCCGGCGTATCTCCGGGATGTACACGACATAAAATTACAATGATGCGTATGAATCCGCGATCCAGGCGCGACGCTTTTGTTTTGGCGGTGACGTGGTCAATCGTGAGCAGGTCAAGATTTCGCTTTTGCTGTACAAAAATTAAGAAACTCACTAATTAGCTTGTTTATATAAACACAAATTAATGCAGGATATGGTTGCTGGTAACCTAAAAATTGCGAATTATAGTCACTACAACAACAATCCTGCAACCAATTATTTCTTACCACACTCTTCGTCAGCACACTGCGTACGAATCTTGGCTCCGTTTGTCGTGCGTCGATCACATTCAAATACGACTGAAGCCGCGAGTAACTGTAAGGCGGTGCAACTGCAAATTGATACACGTCATCTTCCTTGTCGAAAGAGAATGCAAAACTCAGCACATAATGATTTTGATGCAACAACGAGCGATAGTAGAAAACATTCTTCTTCGGCAAGCGTTGCCATTTGGGACGGCTGGAAGACTTCACCAGCGGCACCAGTGAAGAATTGAACAAATTACGCGGATTACTTATGTTGACGATATTGAAAAGTACGCGCTGATCTTGTTTCACATTGTCCACAGTGAAATTGAACCAGAAACGAAAGCGAGGATTACAAGTGTCCGGCCTTAAAAACAAGTCGTACTCAAAATCGCCAATCAGATCGGCTTTGCCGAGATTCCCCGTCTCAAAAGCAGCATCAAAACAAAGATGGCCGCGCTTGGCCTTGCCACTCTGCCCGGGTGGACGTATGATCACGCGTGAGACATTGCCAAGACCACCCTCGCCATCGCTGTCCTCGCTGTCTGCAAGTAGAAAGTGAATTTAGGTGGAAGTTAATTAATCTTTTTTTGTTATTTTTAGAAAATATTTTTTGAACGCGATTTTTCAAAACTCTACCCTCGTTCATGCGCTCATACATGCTTGTATGCTTTAAAGGATCGCAGGCCATACCGAACATCATTTTGAAAAAAACTATTTTGTTACTTTACTTTTTGTACAAAGAAAACAACCGTTAAGCAGCGTGGCTAAAATTCATCTAACTTGCATGGAATTAACAGCCACTTCAGTAAGCGACCACCAAAAGCAATAACCAACCTCAAGAGGTGTTATTATTATTATTTTTTTTCAATTATGATTTTCTAACCTCCAACACTGGCATGCGGGTATATTATGCACATATGCAGAAAGCTACATAACTTGCCATTCGAGTAGAAACTTGAGCGCCCATGGTTAAGACAGTTTTCTTGTGGTGTTCCTCCTGCAGCGCGTGCAACAAGCTGACATGACAGCGGAAATGCGGCACTTAGCCACTCGCTCCCAACGTCGCATGCAACATCAGTTCTTCGCTGATTCGTTGACTCGCTGCCTCTTGCTAGGCACTTTAATATGCATATAAATGGTGTCAGTAGTTAAATAGGCATAAGTGTTGCTATAATATCACACTGCCTCCCCCACGCCATTCTCTAACGTTTCTTTGCATTAAAGCGCCGTTAGGTGCTTATGTGCGTGTCGATTATCGCGGTTTTAGCACTTTCACATTATGCGATTACTTTCGGAATTTCGCCTGTAATCGCTTTTATGATCTTTAGGTCCTTCTTGTAGGACTATTTAGGCGTTTCTTATTGGCAAATAGGGTGTGAAAATTCAATTTTTCAGAAATGAAAGCGAATTCGATATATTTTTACAGTTGTGACTGAGTCAAAAAACAAAATCAAAAACGGCGTCCAAAGGAACGATTTAACCCTAACGATTTCTGTTTCTTGATTAATACCAAGCCATCTTCAAAGAATTTTTTGAATTTTTAAATTCAAAGGGAATTTAGGCTCTAACAAACATTTAATGTAGTAGGTATAGCTATAAACAAAAAGGCATCAGTGTAGAAACTGAAGAATGGTATTCTAAACACTGTCTAAATGCTTCGAAATTCGACCATTTTTTCGTTCGTTTGCCCCATGCAGACATTTGAAGTTTAATTGCTAAAATATTGAATTGGAAAAGTTGGTGTACTTACAACATAATCACAGGCGTCGTCTATAAGAATATCGATTATAGCGCTACCTATCGGGTTTGAATTGCAAAGCAATAATCGTAAGGTTTTCATAAAATTTCCTTAAAAGTTTTAGCGAAATTAGGAATTTGGTGGTTTCAGAGATTATATGATACATTGACACATATACACATCGAGAATAAACAGATTTTGAGATTTCTTTTTACTTATGCTAATTTGGCTTACTGTGATATTTAAATCAAATTTTATATCAATTGTATAATTACTTATTCCTATACTGCTGCGCAAACTCACCTGAATCACCCATTTTCCTTTGATATCTAGTCTAAGCCATCACCGAGTTAAAACATGCGACTTTGAGATTTGTTTTTGTTTCAATTTAATTTACTTATTGTACATAACACTGTGTCGGAGGCGCTCCTCTTAGCCACTGGCACTCACACACGCTTTCGAGGAGCACGAGTTGGATGCACTGTCACCGCCGCTACCACAAGTGGTGGGCTTCTCAGTCTTAGCAAAAGATGCTTGCGCCACTTGACTTATGAGCTCGCGTGCTAGTCGTAAATTTTAATTTTGTATTTTTCGCACTTACATAGCACATATTTTTGTCAGTATTTTATGCTAAAAAAAATAACTGCCGCAACGCCTCACCAAAGTGCAGCACCGCACACCGAGCACTTACGACCGTTGAACGTGCTACCGAAATCACGTGTGCAGTTATGCGCTTTGTCTAACACTCATATAGATTTCTACATATGCAATTGCCAAGCACTCAGTTATCCTTCGTGAAGTGTTCGTCTCTTGCTTAGTGGCTGCAGCGGTAGCATTAGATCGCGACCGCAGGATAACCAAATCAACCTTTGACTTTAAGGCGTTTTGCACTTTTGTGTCAGTTTCAGTTGCACTTTCGACAGCTTCACGCAACAAACACGCCAAAGGCAAACAAGAGACCCAACAACTATATGTTTACTCGTTGAGTGGCGTTGTTTGGTCGATATTAAAAGTTCCAGGCATCGCACAACGTCACTTGGTTACCCCTTACATATGTAAGTCAAGTGTTGGCATTCGCTTGCATTCCTTCGCACTTGGTGACTGCTCGTATTTAGTTACTAGTTTTGCATTTGCCCGTGTTCTGCGCGAGTCAGTGTATTAAACACAATAAATAAGCGTTTTTATTTCGCAGTTGCACAGTCTTCACCTCGTCCATTAATAGGTTCCTTCTGTGTGCGTGTGTGCTATGCTGTGGAGTGCGAAGCGTAGTTTCTGTAGTTCCATGACTGGGGCAAACTTTTAACGAAGCAATTTAATTGCTTACACATTGCCCTAGTCACGCCTTGTCGTAGTAGTAGTTTGGCTAACACAGTAGCTCTACTTTCAATTGGCAGATGGTGCGTGATGTTCGTTGAAACTTAATGCATATTGATTGCTCTCAAAAATCTATTAATTATATTTTTGTGGAATTTGTTTTTATTACTTTTGTTTGCAGAAACTTGTTTTCTTTTGAATATACAGTGCGTGTATAAAGTTTGCTACACATCGTTCCTTGCGAGGAAACACTGGCTTGAATGAAAGTAAAGGTTATTCTGAGAATATGTGAGGTTATAAATCAGATTTTTTTTCAATTTGCAAATTTAAAAAAAAAAATCCACTCTGGCGCAAAATATATGATAATCACGATTCAATTACATTAGCTTGCGTCGAGAGCACAAAAACAACAATTTAACTCATAATGTCAAAATGAGATGTTTTTGTTTTGTTTTGGTTTTTATGATTAAAAAATTAACTCAAAAAACATTTCAGCCATGACCCAATTTTATATATTATAAATATTTTGCTCGATTCAAAATTATAATTATAAACAATTATAGTAACACTTTATATAAATGGATCATGGTTTTGACACAGTACTTTGAAATTATTAAGCTCATCCATTTAGCTAAAATAATATGAAATTTTAAAGGCTATTTTTGCAAAGATTTTGACATTTAAGAATGGAAAGAAAAGTCAATTAAAATGTTCATTATTTATTTGGTAAACAAAATATTTAAAGGGCGCTGGCTTAATGAAACCAAGTTTGATATTTTTAAATTTTAAATAAAGCTAATAGGGGCGTGGTTAAGAATCGTGTCGAGCATAAATTAAATTAAATATAATTCGCAACAAAAAGATTAACTTTCTTGGTGAATTCTTCTTCAATTTCATAGTTTGCAATTTATTAAAGGAATAAAACTGGATATAGGTTAGCATGGTTCTATTATGCTCTAAGGAGGAACTTAAATGTTCTAAGTTGGATATAAATTTTATTTACTATTATTTGCTATGCGATAACAGAAAACATTTTCAAAGTCGAAAAGTTATAAATGAGATTGCACGTTCTGAAAGTAAATTCATTTTTTTATCGCTCTAATGAGAGATAAATTCGGGAATAGCAGTCATCTCCATATGTTTTTGCAAGAGGTGAAGTAATAAATTTGAAAAATCTGCTTATTGTTTCTTCAAAGATTTACTAGTTTTGTGTTTTTATAGAGGAAAAACCTCGAAACAGAGAGCTTTATTTAAATTAAATTAATTTATTTGCAGATTGCACTATGCAAATGTTATCGAGTTTATTCAGTATCTATTTCTTCAAAATTATTCCATTTGCGTATATTATGTGCATATGTATGTAAATACAATATATGAGGCGAAGTGTCGAAGTTTCCGATATAAATGTCTGAGTACATACGCTTAACCGTAACCATGACTGCATTTACGTGGCTACTTCATGTGACTGTGACTTAGGTACTAGTGTTGTGAGTGTGCTTCCCAAATAAGAGGAAAACTCCTTTCATTAAACAAGTGCTTACTTAAAGAAATTAATGGCCATCAATTGCTAGTCCTTGTGCTGTTGTTATGCACTTAATCCGTGGCATATTGACATAAACTAATAAACGTTCCTATTATACTGCGTTGTTTGTGCACGTGACCTTCAAGCGCCACAATCTAACACCCATTGACTTTTGCGCACCCACACAATATAGAATGATTGTTTGGAATAGGTAGCTGTGTTTATGTATGTGCTTGACTTCGACGCTATCATCTCCATGTATTATTGACCTACCTCTGACATTTCTTATTGGTTTTTGGCTTTGACTTTCGATGGCTTTGGCGTGTGCCACAAGCCAGCGTGGCGTTGCTTTTGTTGTAGTGTATGCAAGAGTAAACATTGTGACTAGCAAGGCATTCCATTCATAATTTGTCGCGCATTATGTTGTAAATAAATAATAACCAAAAATAGAAAAATACACCACATATCGAGTTCACCGCTTTACTCCTGTTGCTTGTGATTGATTGTGAAGAATAAATGGCCTTGTTATGAAATGCTAACATTTTCTACTCTTATTTCTCCAGATTGGGCAGCGTGCGTCCACCGAAGCGTTGCAGAAGCGAAATGGATACGTCATCCGCTTCGGATATTGTGCTGATCCATGGCAACTCACATCCAGATCTGGCCAATAAAGTGGCCGAACGCATGGGCATAAAGAGTGGCGGTTGCTCCGTATTTCACAAAACGAATCGCGAAACGATGGTGGAAATCGGCGACTCGGTGCGCGGCAAAGACATCTACATCATACAAACTGGCACTAAGTAAGTGCTTGTACAACGTAAATTTGCTTCAACTAGTTTGACTAATGATTTCTCCACACTTTTGTAGAGATGCCAATAACAATATCATGGAACTGCTCATAATGGCGTATGCTTGCAGAACATCTTCGGCGCGCTCCATAGTTGGTGTCATACCATATCTACCCTACTCGAAACAATGTAAAATGCGTAAACGCGGTTGTATCGTGTCGAAGTTGTTGGCGAAGGTTTCTACATGCTTCTCGAATAAGAAAAGTGTTGGAAATTCGTTTGTTGTTAGGTGGTGGGGAGTGAAGGGCAATTCAAAAACATCTTGACTAGCCAATTTGAATTTTATTTTCTTACATTTAACTCACCGTTTTGATTTATGCTAACATATTTTCTACAAAACATAAATACTTTCACAAAATATTGTGCCGCGAAGAATACATACTCTTGAAACTGTTCTTTCATTTTGTCATGTGTCAAGTTAAATCCAAAGTACTAATTGTTCTTATTAACCGTTAATTCAGCGAACACTACTAATTAGCAACTTATAGCGCTAAAATATGAAAGTTTGCATTATTTAAACCATCAAATATAGCGTACACACATATGAACTTGCCTCATACTGCCAACTCCGTTTAACAAAGAATTTTCTCTTTTGTGTTTTTTTTTTTTTTTTGGATCAGTTCATTCCAACACTTTTCGCAATAATTCATTAACGCTTCCATTACTCCTTTTATTATATCCTTTTGCATTTTTAGATGCTGTGCACCTCCGGCTTAACGCATATTATTACAATGGATTTGCATCAAAAAGAGATACAAGGATTTTTCGATATACCAGTTGATAATTTGCGCGCTTCACCATTTCTGTTGCAATATATACAGGAGAGTGTATGTGCAATTTTTGATATTACATTAAATGTGTACAACTAGAGTATTTAGCTAGATCAGAATATGTATAAAATTAGTGTCAATAGTTTTAAACCGTTTTATAGTAATTTATATTGCCCAAACTCTTTTGAAACTTACAAATATTAATTTTTTTTTTCAATTATCCCCCGAAAATTTACATGCACATTATTGGCTAGTTAATGAACCTAGAAAATGATCTATGTATATATATGCGTGGCTTAGATTAAATGCCTATCTAATTATAGCCATGGTATAATTGATTGCAACCTAAGTTATTTTTTTTTTTCATATTGGCTGACAACTAATCGAATCGGCTTAGTTTTCAAAAACTCATAAAATTTCGATTGTAATCCTGGATTTATAGAATATTGAATTCACTGGTAATGAAATGCAATCAAATTATATCTGAGCACGTATTGCAATTGATATTGTTTATACCATACAAATATTTACCTTTTTAAATTATTTCGTATAAGAACTTCAACTGCGAGTTTAAGCACAAAATATTATATTACATTTCTTTTCGTTGATATGAAGACTTGAATTTTTTTGTTTAAGTCAAATCGTATTAGCTTAGAAAAAGCGAAAAAACAATCGAAAAATTATAGTCACGGTTTAAGAAGCCTTCAACGGATTAATGCAGGTTTCAGTATATGATAGTATATAGATATAGTACCTATATCTGTTATGAGATTTAACGTTTCGTTTTTCATTATTTCTTTCTAGACTTGTTAAACTAACTATGAAATAATTACTTTTCAATTTCTTACTAGATTTATCTAACATCGACATTACCGTATAATTTCGCTATCGAAATTCAGACTGTCACAATTTTGTAACATTCTCTTTTAGCTTGGACAATTTTGCACAAATACTTTTGATGTATATAGGCAGGGAATTGAGTTAGAGGGTAAACAACACACAAATATCGTTTTTAACTATTGCTGAATCGTGAATTTCGTATCATACAGTTTCCACTTATGATTTTGAAAGTCACAATTCGGTTATTTTAGAAACAGTCCAATTTGGCGCGATCAGCAATGTAAAAATAACAAATTCCTACCTCGAGCCGAGGAATTTGTATGATTTTAGACTGCTGTTTAAACCAAATTTTTGAGAAATCCAAATAAAGCAAATCGGAATAAGTATTCAAAATAACCAATTGTTTAACCCAAATGTGTCATTTCATGCAGTGTAGTCACCCTTAAGCTTTTCATTACTGTTATAAACGATAACAATAGGCTTCTGCGGGTCTATACTGTAACCATTTCATTTCACTTAACGGTTAAGCTTTAAACTCTCGCTAAGAAAGTTCAAAACCTTAAAATGTATTTATCTACTTGTATTTTATTAATTATATTTAGCTTAATGTGGAAAGATAAGTAAGTTATTCGACAACTAAGTGATTTCTTCCTTCTACTGCAATATTATTGTTTTCTTCCCTAATTATTTCTGTACTTATGGAAAGTGTTTAATTTTTATTGATATTGAAAATTAGTGGCAACATAGAAAATATTAAGTCACCGAAGTGTAAATTTAAAACAAAAGTTGTTGTAAGATTCTTTAAAGTATTTGCTAAACTCCAGCAACACTCTTGCAGATCCCTGACTATCGTAATTCGGTGATTGTGGCACGTAATCCCAACAGCGCCAAGAAGGCGACCTCGTACGCTGAACGCTTGCGGCTTGCCATAGCAGTCATACACGGCGAACAGAAGGAGGCCGAAAGTGACGAAGTTGATGGGCGCTATTCGCCACCCCCCGTGAGGTGAGTCAGCAAACATTTTGTGTAGAGATATTTCACATTTGCACTATCACAGCTAACTAGAGCGAGTGTCCAATTCGCATTATCTATGTATGAATGCAACTTGTAATATACTATGTACATAAATGGGCAGATCCTCATTGCCAAACCAATTACTACTTGCTTAATCATTATTATTTTATTTTGTTTCGCATATCATTAGTGTAAAGAAAACTGAAAGTAACGATAAAAATCTAAATCTCTCTATAGAATTAATATTGTTTACAATTAGGCTGTAATATGTGCTCTTTGGATTAGATGTTGTCATTTTGTAAAATGAAGCGTCCAAAGTTTGTTCGAGGTTTGTAATAATCTCCGCGAATTCCGCCGTAACAGCACGCTCCATTTGAAATTTTGAACTTTTGTAATACTGAATTAGAAATTTGCAACAAATTAACAAACTAAAAACAATAAAGTTTCGCATTAAGGTTCAAACCTAAGTTGTGTGACAGCTTAAAAAAGGCAATTTTTGAGAATTAAACAAAA